TCATGAGGGGGCCATAGTTCCCTCATGCTGGCTCAGGAATTCTGGGAGTTGAAGTCCACCAGTCATAAAGCGGCCTAGGCCTAGGCCAGAGGTAGGCAACCTTGGCTCTTTTATGACTGGTGGACTTCAACTCCCAGAATTCCTGAGCCAGCCATGCTGAGGGGAAAGGGAGAGGTTTCCAAGCTGAGCCATGCTGGCTGAGGAATTCTGGGAGTTGAAGTCCACGAGTCATAAAGGGGGTCATAGTTCCCCCATGGTGGCTCAGGAATTCTGGGAGTTGAAGTCCACGAGTCATGAGGGGGACATAGTTTCCGCCATGCTGGCTCAGGAATTCTGGGAGTTGAAGTCCACCAGTCATAAAAGAGCCAAGGTTGCCCACCCCTGAGATAAGCAGACACATCACAATGTATCATGAGGTAAATCAGCAGGTAAATCAAGGAACAGCACCCACCCCGAAGAAAAAGGCGGGAAAGCCAGGAAACTCGCCCTCCACCCCCAGCAACCAATCACAGATTGCCTCACACAGGAGCCGGTACTCTCCAACCCATCAACCACAACTGCATGTTCTGGCCCACTGTACGCCTTACTGCTCCAGCTACTCAATTAAATATCTTAACAAATGACTCCAGAACTTGCAGGTTTTTAAGAAGAGACTGGACAGCCATATGTCTGGAATGGTATAGGCCGGTCTCCTGCTTGAGCAGGGGGCTGGACTAGAAGACCTCCAAGGTCCCTTCCAGTTGAACTCCCGACAACTTTACAGTCGAGGCACAACCGTTGAACCATTTATCTCGGTTCCAGGATGCCCAGCTTCTTCTGGTCCATCCGAAACACCTGCGTGGCTGAGTTTCCCCAGGGGGCTTCCTGGCCAAGGAACATGGGGATTGTAGTGCAGCCCCCTGGAAGGGCAACTGGTGGAGAACGGCTGACTCTACACAGAGTTGCATACACAGAGTTGCAAAGCAGGGATGGGGAAGGAGGCTGCCAACAACCCCTTTGCAAGTTGGGGGTGGCAAATGTCCGCCGCCTCCGCCGCCTCCCCCCCTTTGGCTCCGAGGGTCCCGCCTGGGTCTTTGTTGAGGGGGCTCAGCGCCCCCCCAAAGGGTCTTCTTTTGCCCACGTGAGCATAAAAGGGGTTCAAGCGGCGCCTTCCAGAGGCAGCCATCCAAAAAAGGTTTTTTTTCTGGATGGGGGGAGACGGGTCAGGACCCCCGCGTGGCAGGTACCCCCCACCCACCAGTTTTCAAGCTGAGGGTCCTCGCAGATCAACCCCCCCAACCCCTCGCCCCCTCCCCAAATGGCCTGCCCAGCGTCTGCTCCGAAAATCAGGGCAACTCCCCGCTCTGTCTGAATGCCTGCAAAGGATCCGGCGCGCCCTTGGGCAATGAATGCTGATCCTGAGTTTGAGGAGGGGGCTTCCCTTTGGGGACCCCACGCCTCCGGCTCCAGCGAGGCCTCGGCGTGCCTCCAGAGGGGTCTGACCCCCCCCGTCCCTCTGCCAAAGGGGGAGCGCTTTCTCCCTCCTTCTTTAGCCGGGCTTGCTGCGCCCGATCCAAAGCCCCCTCCGGGAACCGCGAGGCTGCGCGCTGCTTCCGCGCGCCCTCTGCCGGCCGGCGGCGGCGGCAGCAGCAGCAGCAGCAGCCACAGCAGACTCGGTGCGCATGCGCGGAAGTTGCTGCTCGGCCCGGCCGGCCAGCATCTCGGAGCTTGCGCGACGCGGAAGTGAGTGGGGGAAACACGTGTCTGGAGAAAGCGGGGAGGGGAGGGGAGGGGGGCGCTGCTTTTGGGGGTCCTGGACTGCAATAAGTCATGCTTTGCGTGCAAACTGGCCGGGGAGGATGGGAGAGCGAGCGCAAGGCTGGAGGGGGAATCCAGGGGTCCCTGAGCATGCAAACACCCCCGGGGGGGGGGCTGCGCAAGTGGGGCGCAGGATCGGGGCAGGGAGGCTGCGCTGGGGCTGGGGGCCCTCCTCTCCCTCCCGGTTGCAAACCCCGAGAAAGCGGTCCGAGCCGCAGGAGCTGCAACCTGTGGACCCCCCCCCCTAATTGGGGGGCTTCGGGACGTGGCGGGATTGGCGGGACCCCCCACCCCCTTTCCCCCAAGATCTCCCGGGTCTGGTCCGCGCGGCCCCGGACTCCGCCCGCAGCCAGGGGATAAGCAGCAGCTCCGCCGGGCTACAAGGGAGGCGGGTTCAGCCCGACCCCCACGGAGGGCAGATTCGGGGCTCCCCCCTCCAGCCTGCGGCTTGCAAGCAAAACGTGGATAGCGCACCCCCCCCAAAAGCGGGGTTCTCCTTGAGCCCCCAAGCTGGGGCTGGGGCTGCTTTGGCCCTCCCAATCTTGGAAGGTTTGCCACATTTTTTTCTCAACCTTGGCTGCTTGAAGAGGAGTGGACTTCAACGCCCAGAATTCCCCTGCAGGGACCTTTCCCCCCCCCCCCCATGGGGAATTCTGGGCGTTGAAGTCCACCTGTGTTCAAACAGCCACGGTTGAGAAACCTGGAGTTTCCCCCTGTATTCAATCAATCAATCAATCAATCAATCAATCCAGAATAGAGCTGGAAGGGGACCTTGGAGATGATGATGATGATGATGATGATGATGATTCCTCAGGCAGGAAGCTCCCTATCATTTCGGACAAATGGCTGTCCAGTCTCTTCTTAAAAGCCTCCAGGGATGGAGCACCCACCACTTCTGGTGGCGGGCTGTTCCACTGGCTCATCATCCTCACTGTTAGGAAACTTCTCCTTAATTGTGAAGGAAAAGCAGCGTTTTCGTGATGGGGGATTGCAAACTGAATCCCCGGGGAATGTCCTTATTTTTGCACCGATTCCTGCATTTTGTCTTTCCAGCTCTTTCCGGGATGTTGCAGTGCTGGGGCAGGCTGAGGCCTTGGCGCCTGGGAGCCTGCTCCGCCCCTTGGGGGAGGGGCCAAGCTGGCAGTCCCCGCCCACTGTCCCGCTGGCTAAGCCACCATACCTCCTCCTCCGGTCACCGCCCGGCACGGCGGTCCTCTCCGTTCTGGATGGGGAAGGATTTCCGCCCCTCGGTTCCGGCTAGCCAGTTTGCTTTGAGCGCCCGCAGACCCTTCTGCCCAGACCCCCGTCCGAGCCCCCCGTCCGAGCGCCAGTACCCTTTCAGGACCCGGCTGCTGGTGGTCTCCCTCATCACCCTCCAGCTGGGCCTGGCCTGGCGCTATTTCCTGTGGGAGAAGGAGAAGCAGGAGAAGCAGAAACGCATCGAGGAGCTGCGGAAAGTGTCCATCGGGCAAGGCAGCTTCCAGCTGGTGGACCACACCGGCCGGCCCTGCTCCAAGGAGGACCTCCAGGGCAGCTGGGTCCTGCTCTACTTTGGCTTCACCCACTGCCCGGATATCTGTCCGGAGGAGCTGGAGAAGATGAGTCGGGTGGTGGACATGCTGGACGCGGACGCCAAACTGCCCCGTCTCCAGCCCATCTTCATCACGGTGGACCCCGAGCGGGACACGGTGGAGGCCGTGGCCAAGTATGTGAAGGAGTTCCATCCGCGGCTCCGGGGACTGACCGGCACCCCTGAACAGGTGCAGAAGGCAGGGCGGTCCTACCGCGTCTACTACAGCACCGGCCCCAAAGACGACGACAATGATTATCTGGTGGACCACACGGTCATCCTCTACCTGCTCAGTCCGGACGGGCTCTTCCTGGATTACTACAATCGGTATAAGACGGACGTCAAGATTGCGGAGAACATCCGGGGACACATGACCACCTACAAGAGCCTCCTGGCCTGAGACGGGGACGGGGGGGGGAGCAAAGTGGCCGGGGGGGGG